TATATATATATTAGTTTGAAAGAGAGCGGTGATTTCATTCCTAGAGATGTTGGTAAAGAAGACAAATATGTCATTGCCAATGACACGAGGTAGGTTGATGTGTTGTGTGAGGTCGGTTGGCTAGAAATTAAGTTTAAGAATAATAAAAGCGCCTGAATTTTTTTAAAGGTGTTTTTAAAAATAAGAAAAAAAAAATAAAGATTCACGGAACACTACTTGAGCATATATAAAAAAAATAATGGGAAATTGGTACCGAGGGTTCGATGATGGATGACTTCTGAAGTTTAGGTGGTGAGTCAGAGTTGTTTGTATAAATATGACATGATTTCAATGGTTCTATTCGAGTTAAGGATCGATACTTATTCATGTTCATTTTTAGTTGACTGAAATTATTTTCTGCACTTGTTGCTTTTCATTTTTTTAAACCACATTTTCATCATTGAACTGCTATGATATAACATCGTGAACTTTATATAGAATAAGTTTACATGGGTCCTTGGTGCATGCAAGTATTGTGTTAAAGTGGTATTATGTTTAATTTATATGAAATTGATAGTCTTTTTGGTATTAGGATATTTTCTATTATATTGCTGAATTTTTAATAAATAATGCATGGTTTTTATATTTCATGTTTTTTTTAAAACAACATGCGCCATGCTTTTTGCGATCCAAATATTGTATGATCTATAAATTACTAATTTGTAGGTTTTTTGTCCGAAATTGATAGTCTTTTTGGTATTAGGATATTTTCTATTATATTGCTGAATTTTTAATAAATAATGCATGGTTTTTATATTTCATGTTTTTTTTAAAACAACATGCGCCATGCTTTTTGCGATCCAAATATTGTATGATCTATAAATTACTAATTTGTAGGTTTTTTGTCCTCTTTATTCTCCCTTTACTTCATCATTATTCATCATATCCAGTTCACATCCTTGGATACCATCCTGAGAACCAAGGTGCTGCCCAAAACTATTTGTGTGATATTTAGCTTGAATAATAAAGATTGAGAATTTATGAAAAGGACCCCAAATATTTGCAAATTTCAATACTTTTAATAATTTTGATATGATGACTTCTTTATGGTTGAGTAAGTTGACTGACTGTTGTCAGCACAACTATTTGTTTAGGTGTGCATTAATCTTCATAGTATAATTTTTTTATATAGGTCCTCACTGTTAATAAATTTGCATGTCTTTTCAAAAATTTCAAATGGCAGGGCAGTTTTTTACCCATACGTATTTCAAGCATAATAGGATGTAAAATATGCGTTTTTCATAATTTTTATGTTTTTAAATTCTAAAATACTTGAATAAAATAAAACATTGCATATAAAATAGGGGCATTTACATACATACCACACAATCCCTATGTATTTACATGTATAACACCTAGACTTCACTCCATTTATCTTGCCATAATCTTTCATAACACACAAAAATTATCACTATTTAAACTTCAAAAAAAGTTAAATGCACCTTTTTTATGCATAGATTAGGTGGCATATTGGTAAAAGTTAAAGTTTAGGAACACTATATTTTATATATATGAAGTTTCTATCAACTTGAACATATTCAAGTTCTTTCCTTCTAGTTTTTTTTTTTTTAATACCCCTGCTAGTTGTAGTTGCTATTGCTGGAATATTTTGCTATTTGGACCCCCATTTTTTTTAAATTAAAACAAAGGTATCAAGGTTAGACGTAATCGGTAAATCTCAGCTAATGATTATTTATAATTCATTAGAGCTTAGGTTCATCTTAACAACGTCTTTAATCAAACAAACATTTGCATGTCAATCCGGTATAATCTGGCTCGTTGTTCAACTCGAATTACAAACGACACATGGATGAAAACAACAAAGTATAGACTAACAGAAACAAGAATGAACAAATAGGTTATACCATTTCCTTTTGTTTCTTAGTTCACTAATGCAAGCACAGAAACTTTAACCTCAATGATGCAAATGTCATTAACCAGAAAACCGAGGGTTGGATAGTGAAATTTGCTTAGGGGAATGCAAATCTAATTAATTATTAGTTTCTTTTGAATAATCAAGCTCTCTCACACTGAAGATATAAAAGAGGGTTATGAAACTTAAGCTTACACCAGCAACAACAAGCCTACCCCCCCCCCCCCCCCCCCCCGGGCTGGGGTCGGTTACATGAATCCCTCTTTTTTTTTTTCTATTGTGCTATAATGAGTGTTTTATTTTCATCTATCTAATAAATTAAGATGTTTTTTCATATAATAAGCTCGGGTCTTTTTAGATCCATCTCTGCCTTTTTTTTTTTTTTTTTACATAACCCAAATCCAAAATCTATTCAAAGCAAATCATGAGATAGCTGAAGTTTAATTTGACCAAACCATCTAAGATGACTATAATCTTTTCCTCTGTTGGAGCCAAGCCAACTCTTTTATGGATACATTCTTTTCTCATTTTCTCTAAATATCAAGCCACTCGTCTCAGCAATTACCAATATACTATATATAGTTGTCTGCAGTGAACTTCTTTTCATGGCTGCTCTTTCTGTCCAGTTTTGAGAAATTTTCAATTTTCTAAATATCATGGCTGATCTTCTTTTGATTTTGTATTTGTCTGAATGGGAACAACCTGGATGATTTTCACACCAAACATGCAGCTTTCATTCAGCAGGTAACCGTTAGAAGGTTTTTTGAATCTTTTCAGATCTATTAAGTTTGTAAAACCCATTTCATCCTGAACCCGCTCCACATTTTCGCCTGCAAATACTTGTTTTTTTCAAATTAAACATAAGTTTTCAAGCCTGGCCGTCAAATTTTCATATTTACACTCATAACAATCAAATTTTTAATGTCACATTAAAAATATAGCATGATATTATTTTTTAAAATTTTGGGGCTTGAAGGAGAATCGTTTTCAATGGTGACAAGTCTTGCAATGCTTTATGGTACAAAGTGTTGCTGAGATGAGAATGCTTAGGTGGATGAGTGGCTTGGCACTTTAGAGATAAAATGCAAAATATTAAATAGAAAAATGATGAATATGATTTATAAGACTCTATAGTGGTAGATAAGAGTGGTAGATAAGATTAGAGAGATTTGTTTTAGCTGGTTTGGTCATATTAAATGGCGGCCACCCAATGATCTGGTCTGACTGCCTAATGATTTGGTTAGAAAAGTGGATATTTTAGATTCACTTTATATTTAACCTAAAAGACATCGACTTGTTGTATAAAAAAAAATGATCTTATCTATTATAATTAAATGAAAATATGACGTTTAATAGGACACAATGGAGAGAAGAATTCATATAGCCCACCTCACTAAAAGGTTTGATGTTGTTGTTGATGATGTTTTTGTTTGAACTGGTTCTATATGGAAGCAATTTTAAACCTGAACAGAATGGACTGGAGGGCTGATTCATTCTGGAGGGCTGATTCATTGTTGAATTGATCGCATGGGCCATTCTATTTTAATTTTTAAAATCATGTTTATATAAATAGAAAAATGATTAATATGATATATAATATATAGCTCATTCATTAATGATTTTTTGAATGAATTTTTTTGTTGAAAAATAAAATTTTCCATGGCTGTAGAAAGTGACCTTTTTCTGAGGTGGTGGTTCCATTAATCTGGTTATCATAAGTGTGGCTGTCAAAAAAGCTCGTTGTTCGCGAACAGTTCGTGTTCGGTTCGTCAATGAGTTTGTGTTTGATTCGTTTGATGAGTAAATGAGACAAATGTGAATAATTTTTTTCTTTTGGTTAGTTAAATTAACGAAATACGAATAGTTATGCGTTTGTTTGTGTTCGAATCGTTATTGTGTGAAATGTAAAATAATTTAAAATTATTATATACAAAAAAATTATGAAAATTTAAAAAAATAAATTTTATAAATTATAATATATAATATATTAATATATTATATTAGTAATATATTAATATAAATATTTTATATTTATATAATATAAATATTATAATTAATGTTATATATTATTTATATATATTAATATTAGGGTTATCAAATTGGCTCGTCGTTCTCGTTTGTTAAGAAAAAAATACAAATAATTATTTCACGAATAATTTTGAACACGAGTTTATTTCAAATGAACCGAACACAAACACAAGTTGCGTTCGTTCGTGTCCGGTTTGTTTACACCCATAGCTCGAAATCAGCTTGAAATTAGGCCGATTTGTTATACTCAATTATACTTTAGCATTATATATATAAATTTTATAAATAAAAAAATACTATAAGTTGATTAATGTATCGTTTGAAATTGGCTCAAAAAAATTTAATTTAAAATTTTGGCTGGCAGCTCAACTTGTTTATGGATTTGATCGTGGTCTGAACCAAAATTTGAAAAGACTTCGAGTGATTAAAATTTTTGAGCTAAATGCGCAGCCTAATGTTGACAATAATGATAAAATAGTAGAGAAGTCGAGAAACAAAATTTAACTTTGATTGAAATAAAAAAAATATATTTCATAATTATTTTTCTAAAAATGAATGCTTTTTTTATAATATTTATTTTTTAATTCTTTGGTAGAAGATTAAATTTAATATATTATAATTTGGATTATATGCATTGGTATTCCATTAGTTTATGTAAATATGATGAAACTTTTATTATATTATTGGGTCTGTATGTGTTGAGCCGACCAAGAAAATGAGTTCAGGTTCTAAATCCAACTAAGGATGTCAAAAATTGACCCAACACATCAACACGGCTTGAATTCGACTCAAAAAATTCGGATTAACATTGACCCGAATATTTTTCGACTCGAGTTTGGGTCAGAGAATTCAATCTGTTTATTATTCGCGTCGGGTTTGGGTCAAACCTGAAAACCTATTATGACCCAAATAAGCATGAAAATTAGGCTGGGTTTGGGTAAGCAGATCAAGCTAGAGTTTGGGTCATAATTTTTGACCCATTTATTATTAATATCATTTTGTAAAATCTACTACTTCAATCTTGGCCGCTAAAATATCAACACAAATCCTTGTACTTTCTACTAGTTTTAATGTGAATTGTATAATTCCATATTCTACCCTAGTGAAATTTCTTACCTTAAGTTCGAAAACATCCTATATTTAAACACATTTGGTTCTATTAAAATGGGTCCGAGTATCTTCTTCATGTATAGATGATTGTTCGGCCTAAATTGTTCAAACGAGTTTGGTGATGGCCTTAGGCGAATATTTTCTCTCTACTTGGTGACGAGTGGTTGTCTTGAATCCAACTAAGCGAGTTCTCTTGAAACCCGACTGGCGTGAAATGAACTTGGCCAGCGAGTCCTATTGGAACTTGGCTAACAAGTTCATCTCGAGCTCTGCCAGCAAGTTCTCTTGAAACCCAACTCACAAGTCCACATTTATTTGCATCTTGCAAATACTTATTAGGAAAGTTTACCGAGCAATGAAGGTAATATCAAAACAAATGACACAACAACTTGAGGTATTATTCAAATTGCATTCAAAGCCTACTACTTTTCCAAAATTTTACATCTTTATAATGATCTGAAAACATTTTGGCACAAATAACACAACTTCTCAGTCCATAGGGAGAGCTTTTTTTGCAACATTTAATGTTTTGGGGTGTTTACATACATACCAACCAGTTCCTATGTATTTACATATCTAACACCAAACTTATGCTTTTTTTACATTTACACCACTCAATCTTTAGTATCACATAAATAACACTATTTTGAGTTGTAAAATGTAAAATACACATTCATGTATGGGATAGGTGACATACATGTAAAAATTCAAAGTAGGATGTTAGATATGTAAATGCACTTCTTCCTTGTAATCACTAAAAAGGGGTACCTGCAATAAGATTATACTGTCAAAAAACCAAATGATGAGTAATTGGGAGAAGGATAACCAGAAAGCAAACAAGCAGCAACATATAGAAGAGAGGAACTAACCATTTATGCTTCATTAGAAATCTCGAAAACTCATTTTGGGGTCATCATTCTTCGAGCCACCTCCACCTCTCCCCCTTCGCCCATTTCCTCTTCCTCTTCCTCTACCTCTTCCTCTTCCTCTTCCTCGTCTAAAGAATGACTTTCCATGCTTCACGTCAATTAGCGAATGCAAAAATTCATCACACAGCATACAACCAGAATACAACGTGGCTCCATTGCTTAGGGGCGTCGTCTTCTTATTGAAATCCACTTCGAGGATTGAGGAATCACAATCGGGGCATCTCGTGCTGGTGGTCGAGATTCGGTGAGCTCCCTGTGGAAGGGCGACCATGCAATTACATGTGTTGCAGTAGAGCCGCCATTTGGGGGCGCTGACGGGATCAAGGATAAGCGTCCCGCTGCACTCGGGGCACGCACACACTCCCTGAGTAATCATAGAGTGTCGACATGTTGGATGAGGGCAAAGAAAGCAGGGCATGCCAATTCCTTTGCCTAATTTTGTGGAATTCCCTAGCTTAATGGTGCCAAATAGATTGTCGATGCCTTCGAATGGAGGGGAATTGTAGCAATAGGGGCAGAGAGGAAAGGACTTCCCATCGACACCGGACATGGAGAAGAGAACCAACTCAAAACTGTCGAGAGGGCACGTGAGTTCCTTGTATAGCTAAAAGATGGGAACCAGTCAGCAAAGCTTTTTCTAAAGAGATATAAAAAAGGTGGCATTTACATACATAACACAACTTTTTTAAATACCCAAACTTTCATATTTAAACATATAAAACTCAAATCTTTAATATCACATCAAAAATAACACTATTATGATGTTTTAAAAGTAAAATAGACCTTTTCATACATAAGTTTAAAGCACCAAAGTGCTATAGGGGTGTAAACAGGCCGAGCTTGAGCAAGCTGAACATGGTCCATGTTCGGCTCGTTTATTATTTTCCTGTTCAAAATTAGCTCGTGTATAAAATGGCTCAAGAATATCGTGTTTGGCTCAAAAAAATATTCGTGATCATTTTCAACTCGTGTTTGGCTCGAATTGGCTTGTTTAAATTAATTAGAAAAATAAACTTACGATACTGGATTCAAACCTGTACTATACCTATGCAATAAAAGGCACAAAATCACATGATCACACAAGCCTGTGATTTATAGATAAATATATATAATTTTCATATTAAGAGCTAAAACAAGCTGAACACGATCAAACAAAAGGTTATTCTCATTTGGCTCATTCATAATTCAAGCTTAAAAAAATTTCTTCGTGTTCGTCTTGCTTACTTAACGAATGATTCAAACACGAGATACTTAATGGGCCAAACATGAGTTGTACATGAACAATGAGCTTTATTGATAACTCTAGTGCAATGTATGTAAAGATAAAAGTTTAGATGTGAGATATCTAAATACATAAGAATTGTGTGTATGTATGTAAATTTCCTAAGAAAAAAAGACTGTCTTGATGCAATCTTCAGCAACTTAAAAATTTAATATCAATCTCATTTGAAACTCACCAGCTTCAAAAAAGGAACTTAATTTACCATGCATACCATAAATGATGCAATGAGTATGTTCTCCATATACTCATATAATGACATACAATAAAGCTTGCAATATTTCTACATCCCTCACTCATAATAAACAAAATAAAAAACTGAAAACATAAATAGCATAAGAGTGTAAATAAAGTTTTGCATTGTATTAACAGACCAGATGGTTATTCTAGCCTACATACACAAAGAAAGAAGCTCATATAACATATAATGTTATAATATAACTTAAGAAAAGTTGTTACAGAAAAGATAACTAATCTCATGCATTCGACAAATCGATTCAAATCATCATTTTGCAGTTCTAAAAGGTTAAATAAATCAAAACCTTTCTCGTTCCAAACATATGGTATGAAAAAAAAAACTCTAACCAAAACAAAAGGATTGCTGATTTTTACGAGAATTAACTCTCAAAATTAGATTGCCAGAAATGAAGAAATTAACCTTAATTGAGCCATTTTGAGGGAGATAATAGACCTCCTCGCAACTGATACAATACAATCGTGTTGGTTGAGTTGAAATGAGTTTCATGTAACGGGAGCATTTTCCACACTTGCTGAGCAAACGTCCAGATTCGGCCAAGGTTGAAAATTGTGCTTCAAAGAGTGCATCCATATTTTCAATCTGTCACAGGAAAGACTACATATATATAATTCAATTCAACAAGTATCATTTGAATGCCAATATTAATATCCTCATCTACATGCCATTCTTTTAATATAATAGAATCATGATATCTAAATTTACCAAATAATCACTTATTCAGCCAGCACTAATGGTTTATAGTTACTAATTCACATTAAATAAATTTAGGAAAAATTACATACATGCCAATGACGCCATCCTATAATCATGCATACTTACAATTCTAACATCTATTATAGAAAATGAGTACAAAAGAGAGCTGTTTCAAAAAACCATGAAAAACTTCAAGGCTAAACATGAATCGGATGACCCAGACAAAAGTGGTTTGCACAGACACAAAAGAATCAAACAGATTGAGATATGATCCAACCCCCAATGAAAAAAATATGCATGCAATGTGCTAAATGGGAATCCTAATCCTAGCTGCATGATGATACGGAATGATCAACATGGATCAAGTGAAATATATAAGGAGAATATGCAAGTACTTGTCATAAGAAAATGTCCTAGGTTGGTCTAAGGCTAATGAGAGGCTAATCTACACAGGCAAATGTCACGAACTATTGGAGATTTATGAAATGATAGACTATGATGAGAGTAAATCATTGTTTAAGTGTGACGCCTGATCCATAAGGATCAAATCATGACTTGCTACACTAAGGGGAGTAAGCAAGCCAAATGTGATAAATGCAAGATATGTACAATCTACTATGATGTCATGCCGACATGTATGAATTTTATGACCATGATAAAATTGATATATAGCCTTATAAAGATTTGAATCTCACATAAGCAACTCAATGTATTAACCTAGCTTGATATAGCAAGATCAAATCATGTGAAATTTAGAGTTCATAAGAATTCAATTGAACTCTAAATAAATATACTAATACCTAATGCATTTACTAGTACTATCATTTATTTTGAAATGACTGCAAACTCATGACTTTCAATTCTAGTGAATTTTTCTTCATAGTGTAGGAATGATATGTGTGCACAACATTATTTAAATTATCTTAAATATTGAATGATTTATAAGTATATTGACTGCTATGTAAATGAGAAATGAATATCTATTATTAGAAAGTGATATTTTTATTGGATACTTGTATATGCATGATTAACTATGTTGAGTCATCCTTTGATGGTACTAGTGAGGGAACACTAAGATACTCGTGCACATAAATGGAAAATAATCTTGATATTGAAGTATCTTAAGTGGTATAATTTTTAGACGGTGTTCGTGCGATGGTTGTATAGATATAAAATGATATTGATATGCTATTGATATAGTAAGATTCGTTGATAACATCTCAAATTTTAATATTGATTTATTAAAAGTTTAGCATGCATGTATTTTATTTTCTTTTTTCTTGCATTGTAGTTTATGAATACGAGTATTCACTAGTTTTTTAAACTCGTTGTTACTTTTAAATTAATTTTTCAGATTAATTTAAGTGATTAAAAGATGAATGATAGAAGAAAAAATATTTATAGAAGACGCGGGCAACCAGTAGCAAGATAAACTTAAAAATATGGATTTAATTTAAATTAATTAATGGCTCTTTCATTTATTACTAGTTAATTATAGAAAATAATTAAGAAAAAAATTAAATTTCAACTGTTAGACCATCTGCTCCCATCTTGGTTAATTCGAAGCTTTTTGTATAGTCGTGACAATATCTATACTAACTTCATAGTCACGTATTGTAGTGTGGCTCACCTCTGATCTCAATCTTTCTAAACTCTAACTAAAGCCAAACATAGCTTCAATTTTTTAATAGCCACCACTTTAATCAACATATCCGCAGGATTTTGTGTATCTTCTCCAATAACAAATGCTCACATTCTAAAATTAAACAAATAAAACAATACTTCAACTGGATACACTTTATCCTGACATGAAAAACAACATTCTTAACTAGATGAATAACACTCATACTGTCACTATAAAGCTTTCCAATCCCTTGCCCCTTGCCTAGTATTCAAATTATTTTCTTATTAGCTTCAGTGATAACAATGTATTCAACTTATGTGGTTAAAAGTACAACAATCTTTTGCAGCTTGAAAACCCAACTTACTTTTGTGTTCTCAAAACTAAAGATATACCGTATTGTACTTTTTCTATCATCTATATAGATTGTCATATTTGAATCAATATATCCATGTAAATCAATCATTGCACTTCCAAAACGAAGTGCTTTATTGATTGTTCCCCTCAAATACCTGAGAATACACTTCACCATCTCCTAATAATATTTGGTTGGATTACCCATGTACCTGCTTACTACTCCCACTGCTTGTGCAATATCTGATCTTGTACATATCATTGCATACATTAAACTTCTAACAGCTAAAGCACAAGGGGTTTGTCCCATCTTTGTTTGCTCTATTTCAGACTAAAGTGATAATTCCTTAAATAGTTTGAAGTGACTACCTAAGGGGGTGCACATTGGTTTTTATCTCGCTCATGTTGAACCTGTGTAGGACTTTCTTAATATATTTTTTCTGAGAAAACTTCACTATATATGCAATCTCATTCCTGTTGATTCTCATCCCGAGAATCTTCTTAGTAAAACATAAATCTTTCATCTCAAACTCTCTAAATAATTGCTCATTCAAATTCCTGATCTTCTCAATTTCTTCTCCTGCAATCAACACGTCATCCACATACAAAAGAGGCACTATATAACAATTACCAAAATTTTTAATAAAGCAACAGTAGTCTGTCTGACACTTCATGTACCCACTGTCTACATAAACTTGTCAAACCTCCTATACTACTGTCTTAAGGCCTGCTTCAAATCATAAAGACACTTCTTCAATTTGCAGACCATGTTTTTTTTCCCTGGAACCTTATAATCTCGTGGTTTCACCATATATAATTCTTTTTTCATATTACCATGTAAGAAGATGTCTTTACATCTATCTGCTCTAGATGCAGATATTTCTATACAGCCAAGCTCAACACAACTCTGACAATTGCTATCTTCATTACAAGAGGGAATATCTCAGTATAGTTTATGTATTTCTTCTATTTAAATGAATGAGTTTTGGAAGAGATCAAGTTTGAGCGAGGGGAGTTGTCCTCAACACTCTCTACTTGTAGCTAGGTCACCATCTTCTCTAGTTAATTTTGCTACTTATACAAAAGGTTGTACTAAAATATTGAAGGGTAAGCCATGTCCAGCTCTTGGCTAGATTACTAAAGGTTCTTGTCATATCAATGCCTTGAGTACTCCTGTCAAGTCCTCAAATAATCCGGTCAAAGCTTCAAGTTGGCTAGCCAAGCACTTAAGAAGCTTCTAGTCGAGCACTAAAGTTTGCTAGCAAAGCAATGGAATAGCCTGACCAGACCTTTCTGTACTCTTTTTCAAGCACTCAAGTTTTTATTTTATTTGTTTGGTCAAGTTCTTCAATAGCCATATCAGCCCTTTAATTAAAGCCTAAATGCCCAAGCTTGCCTCCGACTATTAATTAAGCATGCATGTCATCAGGCCTTAAAGCATATGTTCATAAAGGCATTAAGCACGCAAGTCCATGTTGGCAGGAAATCTACATAACTTTTCCATTTAATCCTTAAACTTACATATAGAAGTCGATGATTTTTGCCTAAGACGTGCAATGATGGTCATCAGAAAAAAAGAATGACATTGACTATCATCTCATTGTGGGATAACAGATTTTACATGCCAACCACACCGCCATCGCTGTCAATATGGCGAAAGAGTGCTCGCTTTTGTAATATTTTGCAAAATCTCTTATTTATTTGTTTTAAATCCTAACTGTAAATTTTGTACTCACTAGTGGATGAATGCTTAGTTTTTTCGGACGAATACAGGTCGGTAAAAAATCAAGAAAACCATGCTAACAAGAATAAACCATTTGCGCAATAACATACACTATGACTGAACAAATAAAAAAAATGAAGTCATGGATGTTTGTTTGCAGCATATAAGAAAAATAAACATTAGCATCTCCAATTCTAATTATAATCCAACACAAATTATTGTTTCAGCATCACTAATTGTTAACCAGGAAAAAAACACATGAATAAAATTGGGATGCAACACAAAAGTAAAGTAGCAAACTATATATATATATATA